TGTGCAGCAGGTACACCAGCCTTTTGCAAAGCAGTGTGAAACTCTAACGCGGCTCCTTCAAGCGCCTTGGAAGGCGTTTTCATCATTTGCACGCCATTTGCACATGATGGCCCATGATGCTATTCACAATACTAGTGCGCGTGCCCGCCGTGCTTCTGCAATTTAGAGGTCTTGTTCGTTTGATTTGCCTTCGCCTACGGCGTTTACTGAGATAAGTGCATACAGACACCCCTAAAAATGCGTCCAACAGTCACTTCCACCGAATCTAGTAAAACTGTCTGCTTGCTCTGCCGACCCGAAGCGCAAGATAACGCACGAACTGACGTTTGTCAACAAAACATACTATCGCTTATGCAGCCGCCAACACCCAGCTTCACATGTGACTATTCGATACGCCTGGGACTTGCGCTAGGATAAGGGCATGATCATTCTTCAGACTCACCGCCTGATCGTTCACCCCATCCTTTGCAGAGCAAATGATTTGACTAGGAGATATAGGCTCATGGTTGTATGTATGCAACGCTTTTTGGCGACTGTCGGCAAGTTTTCTTCTCATCCAGCATCCTAATATGCGCGCGCACTTGCTGTGACGGCGACCTGATATCTCCAAACACTTTTGCTTAGCCACTGGGAAGCCCTTGCTGTTAGTCTCCTATCCAGCGTACAGGCATACGCAATTTTCTCTTCGAATGAGTACTGGGAAGGGCTGGATAGAATCCAGGCTTCACAGCGACCAAGTGTTGCACTTCAGCTTGGCTTTATATATTACTTCCAACAGTGTCACAAAAGAAAACTAGAGCAGCTCCTTATGGAAGGAGCATGATTAAGAAAAATAGTTTTCTGTTCATTGCACAGCTGACAGACTGTACCTGCAAGAGCAAGACCTGTAAAATGTGTACGCTGAAGCACGGGTTCCCATTTGACACCGGGCAAAACTTACAGTCTGTGCGGCAGGCGCTCGTCTTTGTCCTCTGTCACCGGCCTACACTGACAGNTTTGAAGCAACCGCAGTTCCGTTGTGGGCCGACTGCAGACAACCAAACTAGTCGACCTGATATAACTAGACTATGTTATTCCGCGACACATGTGTCTCCTGCCAACTGTCTCTTAACACTGCCTCCGCTCGAGGCCGTAATCCGCATATTGACTGCAGCATAGTCATTGCACTCGGGCGTCCTCGTAATTCACATGTTGAGTAGGACTATTTACAGTATAACAGATGTACTGCTTGGGCTGAAGCAATTGCATACATCCAAGCGCTCAAAGTATACTTACCAACTGATTTAATTGATGCTTCGCCCTATCCCCTACAGCACGTGCGTAAGCAGGCCAGATAAGACTGCTATCAGCAACCAAACATGTATGGATACAGGGACAGCAAAACAAGGACTTTGGTCGCTTGAATGAAATGCTTCAAATAAACAACAGCAGCTGGTAGACGGACTATTTCATCGACCCGCCCCAACAAATTCCACCTCATGTAATTAGATCATTCGAACACATTGATGATAACCTCTACTAAGGTGAACTCTTTCTCACTGCCTGTGTCATCATCGCCGCAGCATGTCTCATCGCACCACATCGTTTGCAACGCTGAATATGTATCAAACACACTGGTGCAAGACGAATCCAACTCACCGTAACGACCGCAAACGTATCATAGGTACGTACTGCCTAAGGCAAAACGCTCCTATGTGCAACACCCTTCTCCCTCTTTTTGTGCATCGCCTCTCCACTTCCCCACCACAACCGTTCCTACGCAGCTTCTAGATCTGGACGTCAACTCGCAAGCGCACGGATTATAAGATTCGAATCAGTTGGTACAAGATTTCAGTCTGCGTAGTATAGACAGAATCGACAACGCACGATCTATGCCGTTTCAGGTAGGATTGCAGTTCTTGACCAGCTGCTGTTGTAAGCTGCAACGAGTGCAGGGGCGAGTTTCAACGTGCGGGCAGATGATCAGTGCGCATCCCTGTACACAGAGTGTTGACTCTTTCACCACTGGAAAAATCGCTGCATAATTTCGCTCGGTTTGAGAACTTCCGTGGCAGATCACAGGCACTGCCTGTTTCGCCGCCGTTTTTGAGCTGCCATCCGAACATTAATCTAGAATGCTCCTTCTGCAGATGTTCAGTGACCTGTCCATGCGCTGCATTCAACCAGCAAGATTCAACGCACCCTCTTCGATATTGTCCCCCCATAAGCACAGTCAGAGCCCGCATAGTCCGTCCAACATTCATCGCCACCCCTTGACCGTGTGCAGTTTTGCAAAGGCAAGCTCAGATGCGGCGAAGTCATGCTGTTGGGCGCACATTCTGTAACGCCAGCCAGCAAGCGCATTTATCCCGTCTTAGTCCTGAGGACGTTCGGAAACTGTTGCGCGATACTTCAAAAGTGTATTGTTCGAAGAAAGCATGCAATGCCTGCTTTATCATGCGCTTCGCACTCGCTGCTCTCTCAAAAGTTGTTTCACGGTTTAGTCCCGGAATATGGCCATTTGCGAACAAGCGACTCACCAACAACAGTAAGAAATTCCAGCTCGCCAGTTGCAGTGTTGGTAACGCTCCACCGAAACAAACACTTGACTGTTCTATATGAGTAAGTCCCTAAGAACTCCTATCCAATCCGGGCATGCAGTTATTCAGCGATCCAAAACATCCAGGAAAAAAGTAGCTGCTGCCACATTCAAAATTTCGCCGGGAACCTGAGATCAGTGGCATGCGCCAAAAGGTGCGGACGAGTTTTTTGTCAGTGCCCTGATCCCCAGATACACCCTGTAATCTGTTTATGTTTCATGTGTCTAACGGTGCGCAAGAGTATATCATTTTTGGTAACATTTTACAGGGTTACATGGTCATTCCAGCAAAGTCATGAAATGTCCTGCAACATACCGGATGCTCGCCCGCGNACAACAAGTCACATCTTCTGCCGTGTCAAGTGGGCATCGCTGATGAGGCTGCTTTGACATTTGTAACGATCTTCGCAGTTACCGGGCAAAATTACCGGTGGACTAACCGGCTGTGTTGTCGTACTTACCTTATCCTGACGTTCGCGCCTCTGCGGCATATAGCAAAGCTGCGACATCACCGAACCGATGCAATGCCCAGTAAGGGGAAACGAAGTCCATCTCCAGCTTACTATCAACGAGAAGCTGCACCGTGTTCTGCTAAATCACGTGCACAACTTCGGCGACAACCAGGGTACGGTTGAGTGACCGGTGCGCCCTCCACGTCGCTGGCAAGCATGCAAATAGTGCTCTCCTGCTCGCTACTGCCAAAAATAGTTGCTTTAAGGGCAGTGTTCCTGTATCCAAACGCATTTCAGTACTAAGCTCATCATGCATTTAGCCTACGCAAAAGTGCTCCCTTCCAGACGCCTGAGTGATGCACTAGCGCCGTTCGTCGGACTCACTCCGTCGCTGGTGTGCCTTACTCTGCATGCTTAGTCTGTATCCCGACACAGACGTCTCGCGAGAGCCGCTACTGTAGTACTGCGCACAACTGCAGTCCCTTCTGACGCTACAAAGCTTACCCTCTGTTGCCGACAACATACCCGAAAGCACTCCAACTGCTCAACAACGCTGCACCAGACCGCACTGACTTAACATACCTAAACCAATATCACCAGTACTTCGTCGCCCGTCAAGTCCCCGAACGACCGTTGTCACATTTCAAAAGCTGCCAGACGCATATCGCACTCGGACGCGCTGCATCGGGCTAAACACCCAAGGATCCGCAAAGCCACAACAACGCGTCCATGCTAAGCCCACGTTGGACTCCTCTAACAACGACTTCCCACCCTGGATGCCGCGTTCGCAACCCGAACCATGCACTCACAATACCCTAGCCAAACAAGTTCCCCTTCAGCAGCAAGCGCTTCTGCTTGCACTGATGCCGCTGGTACTATCCGCATGGCTCCTCAACACTGCCCGTCCCCGCTGCCATCAAACAACGATCCACACCTCCAAAAAAAACGCACTACACACCCCACTTCCCCCTGGTAGCTGCAGAACTCCAGCGCTGCCCCGTCCGCCATAACGGTCAACTCCTGTTGTTGCGCGCATACCCAACATGCTCACAAACGTTTCACCCCACAGCAGCGCAGCCTCGTACCCGCACAAATATCGTCAATACATCCTCCCACGCCCAGTCCCTACACAGTCACCATCTCACAAACGAGACGCCCAGGTGCAGCATCCCTGGCACG